GTGAGGTAGCTGATGGCATCGTTTGCAAGACACCTCCTCAGCCACCTTCTTGGTGAACCCCATGACAAGGGCAATTTCAGGACAACAATTTATTTCTACTTTTGATTAAAAAACAACGTGCAAAATCTGGGGGAGATCTTTAATGTCACTTCTGATTTGAAGAGCTGGCTAGCCTTTGCCAAGGAAGAGGGGGATGGTTTTCTGGTTGCTGCTTCAGTGCTCATCCTGTGGTCTTTCCAAAGGGACATTGGAGGAAGATAACTCTATGAATGGAACACCCACCTGATACTTCTGCCTCAGGTTAAATGTAAGTCATTGTGCCCATTGGGGAGCAGTCCTGTGAAAGTGGAATAGAGATATCAAAGCCACCACACGAAAATTTAGTCTTGACAGAAACAATCTTATATCAGTGCCACTAGCCGTCCAATGTGCCATCCGTTGTGCTACCGAGCACCTCATATCTCGTGTTTGTGCAGTAGATTGTCTATGGCGTGAATGGGTGGATGCCTATGTGGATGGCTGGGTCTGCCACACAGTGAAGGTTCTGCTGGCAGCCGGGAGACAGAGCACCACTGTGGACTATGTTTTACATGTACAAGCACAGACTTAGGGTCCTGCTGAGGCACTGCTTGCTGTTGGAACAGAAAATGCCCAGTTTGGGTCAGGCTGCCAGGAGCCCATGAAGTAATCTCTCATTCTACCCAGCTGGATTTTGGAGCCTACTCCAGACGCTGATTGGTTCCACATGGCTGGCCCAGAATCCGAATCTGCTTGTTCAGCTTCTCTCATTTCCTCTTGTCCCCCTTTAGCCTAAGGAGGACGTCCTCCCTTGCTTCTCATTGTCTTTGGTGGAGTAGGGGAGGGGGCCAGGCTGGGAGATGCCTGCTTTCTCTCTCTCTCTCTCTCTTTCTCTCCTTCTCTCTCTTTCTCTTTTTTGTGTGTGTCTATGTGTTGGTAGCATTTATATAGCTCTATACCCAGCACTTCCAAGTCAAGACCTACCTGGACAAGAACTTGCCTTGTAAACATGGTCCATATTCAGAGTCTAAGGTTTTTAACAAAGACGTGGTTAATATAACCATCTTTGGCTTTCACATTTTAAGCAAGTATAGAATGATAGGACCCTAAAACCTGGAGTAAATAATAGAGCTGAAAATCAGACTGTCCCGTAGTTTTTAAACCATATTTCATGAAGCCCTGTTGCCCAGGGCCGTCCAGGGCTGTGGAGCAGGTAGGTAGGTAGGTAGGTTCTGGGCCCCTCACCCTCATTTCCCTAGGGTGGCTCTACTCCTGGACGTCTGACTTTGTTTGAACTAAGGGTTTGGCTTCTACAAAATGTTTGAAGACCATTGTTCAAACCTCCTCATTCCACCTCCAGGGAAGTTAAGATATGTGCAGCTCCAGCTCTTTGTGGACTCGTGTTCCTACATACCCGTGGGAATGGGAATAGATTTGATACCTTGGAATTCTCCCCCTTGTTGAGCTCCAGAAGTTAGTGAGATAACTCCTCCATGATAAGGTGAGGATTGTGACATCCTCTCTAAAGCATGGATTGGAGATAATACATGTGAAAGTGTCTGCAGGGCAAGGGACTGAGAATACTACTTTGGAGAAATCTGTCAGTGACCTGAGTATGGCTCTAGCCTGGGAAACCTCAGAAGTGGTTCTTGCAGGTTTCTGAAAAAAGAAGGAGAACTATAGCGGCCTGCAGTAACCTGCATGCAGGCTCTCGTGGGAGCCGTCCACGGCTCCCTGTTTATCCTGGGTGAGATCCTTTGGAATGCTTTATTTTCATATTGACCATTGGGCAGTGGTTCATCTCAACTGCCTTTGGCCAGTCTGGGCAGGGGGAGGGAAATACTGAATTGGTTTCTCAGAAATCAATTGAGAACTTGACAACCATAAGGGGAGGCAGAAAGCACAGTGATCAGTGACTTCATGTATCACATTTTAAGAAAAATCTTTGCATCTTTGTTCATTTTCACATGGTGAGAGGGGCAGGTTGGGTGTTTCCTGGGTCTCTTCCAGCTCTGGGCTTTCACAGGCAGTAGCAAAGTGTAGCATCTAAGGACATGGATTCCAGAGCCAGATGGGCTCTGTTCCAATATGGGCTATGTGGCTTTGGGGACATTACTTAGGTCTTTATGCATTGATTTCCCCGTCCCCATGATGGGGTGATGATAATGGTAACACACACCTCACAGCATTGTTGTGAGGATTAAATCCATCCATATGTGCACTGTGCATTGAACAGAGCCTGGTCATGGAAGTGCTCGAAGAGCCTCTGAGGTGCTGTGTGTTTTGATGAGCTTCTCAGAGGTACACTGATCCTTTCCAAATCCTGTTCTAGAAGCTCATCCCGTGCCCATCCGACATGTGGTTTTTTGAGGCATCTCGGAACCCAGGGGTTCCTGCTGAGTGTCTTGTATAATTCTATTGCTCTGGGTTGTCTGCTAAGGAAAAGTTTAGTGACTGGCACAAATGACAAAAGGGTTCTCTGGGGGCCCAGGCATGGGCGTTTCTGGAGGCTGGTGTCCCTTTTGTCTATGCTGAATGTACAAACTGATCTTTTAGGCAAAAACCTATTCTAAGCAATTTCTACTCACAGCTACTTCCTTTTGGAAGTAGCATTGTAATAAGCCGAAAGCTATAAAATCAAGAGCAGCATTTATCAATTGATTGATTAACCAATCAGCCAACATGTATTTATGCGATATTTTCTATGTGGTTAGCACCATGCTAACTGTCCCCTGGAGAAATAAAAGAAATATAAGACAAAGTCCCTCAAGTTAAGGTCCGAAAATGACTAAGTGATTATAAAACCGCTACTAAATTTAGATGCAGAGAGCAAAATCTTCCATGCAGAATTTCTGAAGCTGCAAATGACATTTCCTGGCCCCAGGAAATGAATGAGGTGGTCCAGCCTAGACTCCTTATGTTATTTTCCCAATAAGAAGTTACCTACGTCTCATGAAAGTGCCACAAGGAAAGAGAATATTGAGGAGATTTGTCTGGCAATGTATGAAGGATGAGTAATGGTGTCAGAGAGACCGTCTGCTGCCAAAGTTCAGGTTTGCCTGTATGAAGAATATAAGAGGAATAAAGCACATGGCTGAGAAAATGAAGTAGTCAGACAGGTAAATTCAAGTGACAGCAACAGTAGCATCTAGAAAGTGACAGAATATAGCAGCCAGTCTAGAGCTCACAGTTCTGGCAGTTCAGTGTAGGGATAAGAGGAAAAGGAAGAATCAGGTTCTCAGTAGTAAATAAAAGCTCAGCCTCTACACATTCCACGGTACCAGTAGGATATAGTGGACAGAAACACTGGCTGGTCAGATCAACTTGGGATCAAGAATGGCTCTACCTTTCACTAACTGAATGACCTTGGCAAGTTTTGAACTGTCTATGAGCTTCAGTTTCCCTCTCTGAAACAGGAAGATAATGGTCCCTGATTTGTAGCACTATTGTAAAGCTTGCACTACCTAAAGGGGGTGACACTTGGCTTTTGCACATGATGAACACTCCGTCTGTGTTAGCTTTCTTTCTGCTATTAACCTGCATCACCTGAACGTATACTCAGTGTTACAGATTATGATAGATGTAAGAATTTAGAGAGGAAATAGACATGGCCTCTGTCCTGATGACATTCATAGATAGCCGTTGTCTCCTATGTCAGAAGAATTGTCCCACTGCTCCGTACAAGGGTTCTCCAGATGAGGACACCTCTCTTCAGTGGCCCAAAGAAGAGCTGTAGAGTTCTATAGTAGTGTGCATTCTCCTTGTGCTCTTTATAGGCCTAATCACGAGAGGACCAAGTTATTATCAGAATATAGACTAGGCCTCCTATAGACCTGTCTGCAATCTGGCCAGCATGTCTCCTATCCGGTCCACCCCTTAAGGGCTACCACTTCTCTCATTTTACCTCCTCTGCATAACTGAACTAAAGCAATGACTCCGGAAAACATAGTCATTTGTCTACATCAAAGAGGTCTCAAGAATGCCTTCCAAATCACTCCTTCCCTTTTTGTATGTGAGTGTAGTTTCAGGATGATTCTTGTGCTGGCAACACCAAACTGATAATGTGCCTGAATTTAGTCTACTATGGGAAGGAAGGTTAGAAACTCTAAAGAAGCACTGCAATCACTTTGCTATTCACTGTTCTCTGCCTTACTCATCCACAACAATCTATCCATGTCTGTTGTTGGCCACAAGTGGTCTGAGCCAGAGAAGAAATGCAGAGAATGTCTGCTTACATATAAAGACCATCGGTTCTTGGATCTGGGCTCTGGAGCCTCTGAAGAAAGGTAGCTGCATTCTGAGAACCTTCCTCAATCTGTGGGCCAAGACACCTTCCCTAGAGAATCAGAAACAGACTTATCTTGTGCCTCTTCTAAGAGGGCACCCTATTTGCTCATTAGAGAAAGTTTAGGAGGTCAACTCTATTGGTTTCATTAGGGTAAAGAAGCAGACAATAAACAGGTCTCAAGCTCTACAACAGATTTACTGCAAATGTAACACAAGCTACAGAGGAGAGGGAATTGCAGGGTAAAGGAGGAAACATCTATATAAGTGGTTGAGATCCTTGGTTTGAACATGTAAAGAAATTTTCTTTGTTTTAGGCCAAGAAATTTGGAGGAATATTTGTGCTGAGCCTGATAACTGGGGTTTTGTAGTTTTTATTCCCTTTTCCTGATGTTGATCAAATGAGAACATTCTAGAAACTGATACATTCTCCCTGTCACATTCTTGTTACCTGGTTCCAGTTCAACAGATGGCCTCTTTTGCATGGTACATACATAGATTCTTGACATCTGTGAGGACTGATGATGTCCAGAGACATTCACAAATCCTCAAGTTCATGGGTGCAGACACAATTGTGCAAGCCCCTGGCTTGCTCAAAACCACATGTTTGCTCCCGCTTCTCCTGCTGCCGCTGCCAGCCTGAGTCACTGCCTGTACAGCTTTGGGTGCCTGGCTCCCTGAACTAGCTGCCAGTATTTGGAGATCTTAACAACATGGCAGACATTGACAACAAAGAACAGTGTAAACTTTATCAAGATTTGGATGATGTTGAAGAAGTAGAAGAAGAAACTGGTGAAGAAACAAAAATCAAAGCACGTCAGCTGAGTGTTCAGATGATGCAAAATCTTCAGATTCTTGCAGCCCTTCAAGGAAGACTCAATGGTCTAGTAGAAACACCAATATAATACATTGAAAGCTTGCCTAGGGTAGTTAAAAGACGAGTGAATGCTCCCCCAAATCTTCAAGTTAAATGTGCACAGATAGAAGCCAAATTCTATGACAAAGTTCATGATCTTGAAAGGAAGTATGCTGTTCTCTATCCACCTCTACTTGACAAGCGATTTGAGATTATTAATGCGATTTATGAACCTACGGAAGAAGAATGTGAATGGAAAGCAGATGAAGAAGACGAAATTTTGGAGGAGCTGAAAGAAAAGGCCAAGATTGAAGATGAGAAAAAGGATGAAGAAAAAGTTTGGTTGACTGTTTTTAAGAATGTGGACTTGTTCAGTGATATGGTTCAGGAACATGATGAACATATTCTGAAGCACTTGAAAGATATTAAAGTCAAATTCTCAGATGCTGGCCAGCCTGTGAGTTTTGTCTTAGAATTTCACTTTGAATCCAATGAATATTTCACAAATGAAGTGTTGACAAAGACATATAGGATGAGGTCAGAACCAGATGATTCTGATCCCTTTTCTTTTGATGGACCAGAAATTATGGGTTGTACAGGGTGCCAGATAGATTGGAAAAAAGGAAAGAATGTCACTTTGAAAACCATTAAGAAGAAGCAGAAACATAAGGGACGTGGGACAGTTTGTACTGTGACTAAAACAGTTTCCAATGACTCTTTCTTTAATTTTTTTACACCCTCCTGAACTTCCTGAAAGTGGAGATCTTGACGATGATGCTGAAGCTATTCTTACTGCAGATTTTGAAATTGGTCACTTTTTACGTGAGTGTATAAAGATCATAAAAGATCAGTGTTATACTTTACTGGAGAAGCTATTGAAGATGATGATGATTATGATGAAGAAGGTGAAGAAGCAGATGAGGAAGGGGAAGAAGAAGGAGATGAGGAAAATGATCCAGTCAAAAATGATCTTCGACTATAACCCAAAGAAGGATTAAAATCCAGCAGAGTGCAAGCAGCAGTGAAGCAGGATGGTCTGCCTTTTGCTTCCCTGGAAAGGATGAATTTACATCTTTTGACAAGCCTATTTCAGGTTTTTGTTGCTCTTTGTTTGTTTGCTTGTTTTTGTTTTTGCAGCCTAAAATAGAAATGTCAAATACATTTTTAGTTCTAAAAAAACAAAAAACCAAAAAAACCCCACGTGTTTTTTGTACATTGCTTCGTATCACTGGTGAGCCACCTTTTCAACTTGAACTAAGGTTAAGGTGACCAGACGTCCAGCTTTTGGAGGGATAGTCCCAATTTTTAACAATTTATCCTGCATCCCGTGGCATTTTAAAAAAGTCCCGATTTTTGGAAAGAATGCACGACAAGCTAGGGAATGGCAAGACAACAGGAAGAGAATATATGGTTAGGGAATATATCAGCTGCTGAAAAGGTTAATGTAACTTCATTTGGAAATGAAAAGGCTAATGTAAACTCTACTCCCCTCCTAGGCAAGGTCGCACAGGTGGACCAGTGCACTACTCCTTTGAGCCACAGATGCTGCCCTATACATAATTTTTTTAATGTATTATATTTGTAAATCATATTTATGTTGAAATTAAAAAAATATATTACAATACTATTTTTACGTTCTATGAAAATTTTTGTTGCTCCATATAGACCAAATTTTTAATTAAGAACACCCCCCTCCCCCCCGTTAATGGTGTCCCACTTTACCAATGTTAAAATCTGGTCATCTTAACTAAGGTTCAATCTATCACATTTTGGGATTTTTCTTTTTTCCACATGTAAACCAGTTTTGACTAAAACAACAACAGTAGGAACAACAACAACAACAAAATACATGTTGTAAAATTTCTTACAAGACTAGCAATGAATGAAGAGCCACAGCAGAACAAGGAGCCAGAGATCAGTGGGGCTCCCTGAGTCTCTTTCATACACTACTACCATGAGGCACAAGGTTCAAATCTAGGCCTGCACATGTAATGAAGGATTGTGTGTTATGGGCTTTTGTAGTTCATGAACAGTCTAAATTGAGAATTTAGGTCTGGAGGTTCTCCCAGGCTTCCCTTCCTGTCCACATTTCATTTCTGAGCCTCTCAAACCACAGATTCCATGGCGCACATAGAAGTGCCCGCCCCAGTGAGACGCTGGGCAGAGGCAGGCACAGAAGGAGAGCAACAACAATGAAAACAACTTATTCCTAAAGTTTCATATAATTCAAGTCCATCTTTTATACCCTTCACATATGGGAAATAATAAAGGGAGTTTATAATTATGACCCTGGGGTTTCTAAAGAATAAAGGAAAGATCAGTCTCTATGTCTATTGATAATTCATGTTGCCTTTCTTATTAGTCAGACTTGAGGCAATATTTAATGAAACATACATACAAAATATGATCTTAAAAATATGAATCAAAGATCAAAAATTTGCAGTGAGAGAGGAAAATATACTTATTAAAAAAAAAAAACTACACAGATATTATTATCGTCATGGAGTATTTAGTCCAGAGTTTCCTGGCAGCAAAGGCAAAATAAGAAATCAACAAATAATTTTTTGGGAGAGATATATCTTTTCTTTTAAATATAACCCGAAATAAATTCACAATGTGGAACTTATGTGAAAGGAATTCAATGACACAGTGGACTATGACCTAATAAGTTCTATGAAATAAACTAACAATTTCAAATAAAACTATTTCCCATGTTGTCCATTATTAATAATAGGTTATATAAAGTCATTAAAAAAATACTTAGTTGTAAATTCTACCTCAGGGGAAATAAGTAAAATAATAATCATCATCAAGTGGAAGGGAGGGTAATGATTGAGCCGAGATATCAATGAAATAAAAATGGCAGAATGTTAACTGTTAAAGTTGGTTTGAGGGTGCATGAGAGTTCATTGCATTATTCTATTTACTATATACATTTGAAATTTTTCATAATAATTTAAAAAATAGTTGAAAGCATTTGGTTGCCAAGAAAGTTAAGCTAATGTGTTATCTGACAAAGACTATATTTTATTTAATGAAGTTTTGAGCTAAGTAGATACAATTTTTTACTGGATTTTGGAAAAAGTTTACCCAGGCTAGGGAAGACTTGGTATTATTCAGAATTAGTCCCTGAACAGTGTGGGCTTTTCTTTGTAAACATCCACATCTCCAGCTAAGCACAACTGCAGGTTTCTGGCACACCTAAGACAATAAAGCCATCAAGGAGTGGAAGGGAAAAACAAGACTCAGATACCTTCACTGCAGTTCTTCAGGGCAAAGAAGTTCACTGCAGACAAGCTTCGGTTTCCACTGGAGATGTATTCCAGGGCCACTCGGAATGGATTTTCTGGGCGGCCAATTCTTCCCTGAAGCACTGTCCAACTGGTTGCATCAGAAAGCAGAGGAGAAAAGCATAGAGAAACAGTGATGAGAATCAGGCCTTAACCTGCAGAGAGAGCCATGCACCTGCAATGACTTCAGGGCTCACATTCTTCGTGAGGACCAAGAGCTGAAACCCTAAGTAGCATGGAAGATGGTAACCCTGATGGCAACACACAAATATCTGTTTCCTTCTTGTCCGGCAGAGATCCAATTTTGAAATACATTCTAACTACTGACATTTCCTTTGTCATATTCTTTTTATGGCAATTGAAGGACTTTGGACTATTTCAGTAGCTAGTCTTATAAGGAAGGAACAGATACACTCAAGAAAACCTGGCAGTAGAGTCAAGGAAAAGTCTACAAAATGTGTATCAGTTTATCCATCATTATCTTTAGGCAGAATGCTTGGTTTTTAGAATTTTATCTGATACCAAATCTTAGAACCCTCAGGTTCGCTATATAGTTACTTAAGGGACGCTAGCAAGAGCTATTTATTTTCTGCAAGAAAATTAAAGTGCAGTGAACCATGTATTTTGGGGTAAAAGGTACATAAGATTGACGTGGACTTTGCAAAAAGTGCAAACAGGAATAGACAAAAGCAGGTGAAATGGTGAGCTTGGCATCCATCTATAATCAAGGACATCGACACTGTCACAGAACAGAGAATGAGCTAAATGAACATTTTTACACCTTGCTCATGCTATTAACCTCTTGGAATAACCTCCTGTCACTGATTGGAACATTGAATTTACTTTCCAACATTGATTCAAATATATATATGTATACACACACATACATTTTTTGAAAAGTTTGTGTAGAGAATGGAAACTACCTGGATTATGTCCTATCTTCTTTCCTAAAATACCCCAATTTTACTGAGGTTTATTTGATACATAATAAATTACATGTATCAAAAGTATATACAGTAGAACCTCTATAACTTGACATGGGACTATATAACAAACCAGTCAACATACAGAGGTGGTCAACATAAGGAATTAGGCCTCCTGTACTGATGTGTACATGTAGTACGTGTCTGCTCTATGAAAATTAGGTCAACTTAAGGAGGTAGTTAATGTGGGGAGGTGGTCAACTATGGAGATTATTTTATAATTTGCTGAATTGAAGTCTATAAATTAGTGGATTTTGACTTATTTATACACCCACGAAATCATCATAATATTTCAGATATTTTTTTCTTTGAGATAAGGTCTCGCTCTGTTGCCCAGGCTAGTGTGTAGTGGTGTCATCAGAGCTCATTGCAACCTCAAACTCCTGGGCTCAAGCAATTCTCCTACCTCAACCTCCCAAGCAGCTGGATTAGAGGTGTGTGCCACCATGCCTGGATAATTTTTCTATTTTTCATAGAAATGGGATTTTTCTCTTGCTCAGGCTGATCTTGAACTCTTGGGCTCAAGCAATCCTCCTGTCTTGGCCCAATGCCAGGATTACAGGTGTGAGCCACAGTGCCCAGCTTCAGATTTTCTTGTCACTAGGTTGGGCTTAAGTATGGCAGTACAGATGGTAAAGAATTTAGTGAAAAACTAGCTTTTTGGCTTAAAGAGTTTTTAAAAAACAGAAAAATCATTCTAATCCCCCAAGTGTAAAGTGATGCCAACTATAAAAATGTGTTTAAAAATACAACAAGTCTGTGGCTCAGTAAGTAGGGCGCCAGCCTCATAAACCAAGGATGGCGGGTTCAAACCTGGCCCCGGCCAAACTGCAACAAAAAAAATAGCTGGGCATTGTAGTGGGCACCTGTACTCCCAGCTAATCAGGAGGCTGAGGGAAGAGAATCGCCTAAACCCAGGATTGAGAGGTTGCTGTGAGCTGTGACTTCACAGCACTCTATCGAGGGCAATAAAGTGAGACTCTGCCTCTAAAAACAAAAATAAACAAACAAAAAATCCAACAAGTCAGAAAAGTTGGTAAAGTAAAAGTCACTCAGAAGACCATTGTCCAAGGATAATGATAGTCACCATGTCAGCGAACAACCTGTCAGCTTTAATTTTACATAAATGAGACCAGACTGCATATGCTGCTCTGTGGTTGCCCACTCAATGGTGCGTCATGAGAGAATAAACATAGGTTGTATTATCATTTCAATGATTGCATTTTTAATGATCCCTGCATTGCTTCTGAGTTTTTCTCTATCCTGATCATGCTGCGGCTAACGCTGTGTACTTATCTAAATATGGCCTAAGGACAAATTCTTAGAATCAAAATGCTTGGATGTTCAAAACTCTGAGGCATATTGTCGATCCCCTCATAGTGAATCAGGAGGCTCTTGTCTGCATGTGCTTGCTAACATGGAGTCCCATCAAATCTTTTCTGTCTTTGCTACCTTTGAGTAATGAAGGCCATGGCTAAGGTGCTTGATGACCTCTTTCAGAGGGGTGTACATGGATGGCAGTTTCATCTCTGTCCCTGGCAGGCATCTGGACATGCAGTGGGTGTCTGTGGAGTGAAGGAGATAGTTTTGTTCCCTATCTATGCTCTTTGTAGTTAGTGCAGATCACTGGGGCCAATTCTTCAGCCGTTTAATAAAAGTGTATTGAGTTTCCCCACAATAGGTCCAGTAGAAGGGATTATGGCTACAGTAAAGTTTGTTCTCTGTTACTGTACCCAGCAGGATTTCCATTCAAAATACAACCAGTGCAATTGAAGAGAAGGAGCTCTTTTGGTTTAAATGTGAGACTGGGAAAGAAACAAGGGTTTGGAAAAGAAGATGTAAACAAATGGTTCTTACAAAAAACAAAGGAGCAGAATTTTTCTTGTTCTACTGAACAATAAAGGACCTTTATTGAGGAAAGGTGGTGGTGAAAGGCACCAGTATTCATATTCTTCCCAAATCATAGCTCCCTGCTCTGAGGAATGACGGATTTTAATTTCAGGCACACAGTGGCCCTTGACAATGATTTCCATTTCTATATTGGCACTAGCCCTCTGGATAAATGTGTCAAGAGTTTTAGGAATTAGTTTCTGAGTTACCGATGCAATAACTTTTGTCTGAAATTCTCTGGCCTCCCATAGTTTACTGCTGCAACTTTAATAATTTTCAGAGTAGTTGCCAAACATGTATTTTATATCCAGGGAAGTTGGGACCGGGAAAGGGCAAGCTTTTGCCTAGGGTCAGATTTGTTCAAGAGACAGACAAAAACCCAGTGAAAAACAGACCTAAGCTCTCTTCTGTCTGCCTCCATTTCATTTGCTTGCATCCCTGAGATCACGAAACAAGCTCTTTAAGGCCCTACTTTCCTTGCTCTGTCTGGTGGCAACTCTACTTAGGTTTGCAAAGGGAAGGTTATGTTCTGACCTCAGCCTCCAAGAAATAGGCGTGCAGCTGTGTCTGTGTGCTGGGGATCTGTGACTGCCTCCGTGCTGGTGCCTCAATCAATCAATTTGACAGTGTGGGGTGTCCATCTGGACTGCAGGAAGCCAGAAAAACTGTACGGACAGCCTGTCACAATCCATTATCTTCCACGTGTCTCTCTGGAGCGCTCGAGTTCCAGTCCTGGCTCTACCCCTCATTTGCCTGATGACTTTGAAAGGCACTTCTCTCCTAATGCCAGGGATTTTGGATGTTTTCCGATTAATTACATTCTCAATCAGAGAAAATGTCTCCAACCTTATGTGAATTTTCTGAACAAAACACTCTGACTGGGTGGTCAGGACACGTGTAACTTGGGGACGCGTTGTGAAGAGGGGCCAGGAGCTGGGAAAAGAGCAATGCAGAAAGAGAGACTGGAATGAGCACCCGAGCCGAGGCTGACGGGCGTTCAGAGAACAGGTGGTCCGGTCTGGTAGGAATCTAGGTTTCCCGTTGGCCTTGACACAAAGAATGGTGTCTCATGTTCCCACCTCCTGTGTGCCAGGGTGGGGGATCATCCATTATTGTGTCTCTAGTGCCTTATGCATCACAAATACTCAAAAAAATATTTGTTGAATGAATGGACAAATGCGTGAACATTGTTTCTGTTAAATCAGATACCATTCTAACATTCTTGGCCAAAATTTATGTGACAGTGGAGCTGAGTTAATCTAAAGGTTCATGTTAATTCATTGATATTATTAATAGCTATTATTCATCCATGTGGTGACAATGCCTTCCCAGAGAGGAGGAGCCTAAGGAATGGGGAGGGCTGAGGATTTCAGGAAGGACGTAGTGTCACTCCATGGCTCATCACATAGCCATTTGTCCTCCATTTGCCAAGAGCTAATCAGAAGGAATCAGAGAATTACATTAATTGAGACCTAAAGGGTATATGATTTCTCACCCTTAGTTCCTATTTGATGCATAAATGTTCTCTACAATGGAGGTCAGGCTTGAACAAAGTCAGTGTGAATGTTACTTATGGCAGCAACACCAACAATAATAACATAAATAATATGATCAGCAACAGTTA